ACTGATGAGAAGTGTTCGACCCTGAGTAGACAACATAGTCGAGGAAGCCACAAACCTAAACTCATTACACTTCCAGTTGACAGTGCATCTTTACATCAACGTAAGTAATAGTGGAATTAAAAATAATAGAAAAAATTTATTTTTTTTTTTTGAATTATAGTGACTTAGATTCACTGACAACAAATTTATAAAATGAAATTTTTTAAGCTGTATATCAAAGTACTTAACTTGTTACAGCTATAGCGACGGCCACACCGATCGTAAATACAAGTATGTCACAACCAACGATTCACACATCGTGTAATGATACACCATCTGCGAGGCAAAATTATCCTCGAACTGTGGCACAGTATAGTTTAAGTCGAGCACACATTACCTTAGAACCAACACCAGAATCGAGTCCAGATTCTTGCAATATTTCAACTTCATACGAACCAATGCAAAGTCAAGTAAGATTTTTATATAATTGATAATATGTAATTATTTTAAATAAAAAATTTTGATTCAAGTTATTTATATTTAAAGCAATTACCATATGGTACAAGCAGTCAATCATATAGTGGAAATACTCAATATGCTTCGGGACACTATAGCAATAGTAATCAACCATCAAGTACAAGCAGTGGAACTGATGGTGCTAGTGGTAGTAAAAGAATGCAGGGACATCCTTTAAAAAGTTTTAGCGTACCAGCACCTCCACCTCAATCTGCTCCTTCAACACCAGCCCAACAAAAACATGGTGGTAAATTGCATTTGAATTAATTTTTATATTCTTTCTTTTTTTATTTTGATATATGATCTTTTTTTATACAATGCAATGTTACAATGTTACATAGTTTCTCAAGTTACTGTAAGACCTACAATGTCCGGAAGTCCGTATAAAAAGCCACAAAGTTCTGCACAATTAGCAAAGAATCGATTGGCTTCAGTTTCAAATCCGGTGCACACTTCAGAAGAAGTTGAACGATTGAAGGTAATTTTTCATTTAATTTGTCATAAAGTCATAAATAAAATATTTAATTGATTATTTTTATCTTTTCTAGCCTTCTTATAGTACAGAAGAATTAAATCAAGAGATGGCTAATTTAGAAGGTCTTATGAAAGATCTAAATGCCATAACAGCATCTGAATTTGAGTGCTAGAAGAGGTTCCTAAACCTTGTGCCATCTCAATTCAATAGACTGCAATGATACATTCTCAATGTTAGTACCTGAGAAATAGATGTAATAATTGTGTTACACATCGAAACTTTTCGGAAAGTTTATATTGCACAATTGGCAATGAATGATCAGTGGCCGATGAACGGTCTCAGTTATAGATTTTTCGAATCCCAGTGATATAGACTAGAATGAATTTTCTTCCTAGTCAATTTGCTTTTTCCTCTGGTACTAACGTTGCTTTTTATAATAAAATGCAAAGTATACTTGCCAATGTTTTTTGACACTGCCACCTTCTTGTAACGGACTTGTATTTTGCAAGAACGTGAGTAATATGGTTTAAAAGTGTTGACGAAAAGATTGAACATTTCATTATGGATTTTTAACAATGTAATTTTGTGCATACAGTGTGTGCAATTTAATTCAATCGAGATAAAAGGAAATCGATAAGTTCATTTATTATCGATAATCCTTTTTATATTATATTATATTATATTATATTATATTATATTATATTACATTATATTATATTATATTATATTATATTATATTAAATTATTAATTCAATGAATTCGCGGTGAAGAAAAACGATTTTAGCGTTTTTCAATTCTTATACGTATAAAAGTGATTGGTAATGTCGCAATTACCATTTACGTGCTTCATACAAGAATAATTATCTTGCCTAGAAAGAAAAAGAAATAATTCGTACTACATTCAAAAACTCACGCGTTCTTTGCCATAATTTTGTAACTTATACTCATCAGAGTACATTTTATATAACAATAATATCGACTGCCATACTTACGCTTAAGATGGCTAGATCACGTGAGTCTCTTAATCTAATTAATTTATAAGTTCATTACAGAAGAATAGGAATATTTTTTTATGCCTTCTTTATATCGTCAAAATGTTTTTCATAATATTTTATTAATTTTCAATAATTGGTTATTGATTTAAATAGTCAAATTAATTAAATATTAATGAATTAAAATAATAAATTAAGAAGTTTTTTCAATTTCAAATTCAAATTGTAATTATACTAAATGTTATAATTTCACAAATTTTTTTATTTATATTTATATCAGGCCTGAAATTTTCATATATTTATATAAAAATTTTAATTTCAAAAATTTTTTAAATACTGTATAATGGCCTTAAAATATCTTTGTATTAAGTTGCCCTGTACTCAGTGGCTTTGGCAGCTTATAAAAGAAGTCTGTTTTTACTTATGAAAAGTCGTACGCGTATACCTTTAAAGTAACAATGTAGTATTACGATCTCATTGAGAAATTATTTTAGAATTACAAATGAACATCGAGTATGGGTATTATATTAAGACATATAGCATATGAGAATTAATAATATAATTATTCGCAACTTGCTGCGAGGTATATATATCGATATACGATAGAATTCAGATGAAATATCGATAATATCGATAGTGTCCATGTATTTACAATTTCGATAGTTTGTTTAACTGAAATAAGCATTATGTTTTAATGTTCAACTAAGGTACATATGTCGGTCTAATTAATAGAATTAAATTAAATTTGAAAGTCGTTTTGCAAACTATTTTTTATTCAACATTTACAAATTGTTATTTGTAAGTACTATACGTTATTTTATTTGAATATATTTGAATAGCTATGACGATTTGCAATTTATATGTAAGTACTTTCCAAGAAACTGCCGATCGAATTTCTCTGTCGAAATGAATTGAAATAATTACGACGGACAGATTTCATATAAAATATTATTCTATAGTTTTTGACCATATCCGTCGAAATATATAGATATATCTCCTTCCAATATTAGGAATTTGCTACGTAAATTTGCTACGTAAATTTTATACACATTTTATTGCTATACATAAGTCTCTGTAGTATTAATAAATGAGAGACTTTAAAGATGCAGGAAAAATAACGATTCTAACTTGAGATGCGATCAGATAATTTCGCATGTAGTATTTCATATTGTATCATCTTTATAAACATTTTTGTATTTTCTTAACGTTGAATATAATTGTACAAAAATCCAAAATACACGTCAAAAAACAATGCACCAAGAATTCCCGTTGCGGTAAAGCCTAATATGGAAATAGTACAAAGCAATATGTGATACTCTTTGTGATGCAATGTCAGTCGGGAATTATACAAAAAATATCGATTTGTCCAGAGTATTGCATATTACTCTAATATTTGCCGTTAGACGGGAATTATACCATTCATCTTGAGCAACGCGAAGCGAACAAGTTCTTTTATCGTCGGATTAGCTCTGATTAGAAAGTTAATAAATTAGTATTAAGATATACGTATTCTATCATGCACAATTTCAATTCATTTTTCGATACATTTTTCTTATATATGAAATATTACGAACAAAGTGGCTGTATGCTTAACTGAATAAGAATTATTCTAAGTATCTTCTATATTCTTATTTATTATTAAATCAAACATATTTTATAAAAATATTTTATAATTAGTAAAATTGTTATATGAAATTATGAGAGTATGTGAGCTATACCGATAAAAAAAGAACAGCTTGTATATTATAAATATATATATATATATAAATATTATATATAAATATAAAATTTGTAACTATTGCGTGAGTTAAGGGTGATTTAGCTCTTTGTAATTAAAAAAAGAAATAGGTCTACAAAAAGGCCTATAAAAATATTTTACCACAAAAGTATAGTAGATATATATAAAATATATATTTATCTATGTAAAATTATTTATTGATTTTTACTTATACTGGAAATATTGAGGATAAATGAATATCGCAAAATGCTAGAGGCTGGTTGCTTTTAATCATTTCCATTAATACATTATTGTGATCATCGTCATCTTTCATTTTTCTCAATAACATTGATTTTTTTTTTTTTTTAATATATTATT